ACGCAACCACACCACTCACGGTCCCAAAATCTTCCCGGATAAGAAAGTGACCAAAATCACCCTTAACCCAGGAATAATTTAATATTTTCCCCTAATTAAATTAAATAGGAAAATAAACGGGGTCGGGGTGTTACATACATGATTTTACATATGATTTTAATTCACTTAGAATTTTACTTATGATTTTAATAGATTGCAATTACATGATTTTACTTATATTTCTATACAAGCTTGAACTCTATCACCCATCATCATTCACCTAAATGCATAACCTGAAGGAATGTACCCAATTTTTAGGATACATATACCCTATTTTTAGGGTTAATGCAAAGATGGAGGCATAGTAACCATCAATGGTTAGTCCAGGGAGAATACACCGACATCAACAATGTAACTCCTTATATAGCTACACATGGCCAAAATGAATACGTTAAAGAAACATAACACAATTGAGAAACCAACAATAGAAATACAAAAGCATAAGTAGAGGCTAGAAGCTACATCCAAAACTACCAACACCTAATGCAAAACATATAGCACCAGAAATACAAAATAAAGAAACATAGTGAAAACTCCTAGCCCAACCCCATGACTACTCCTAATTTTTGTCAAAGCTTGGACCAAAACTATGGAGTAAAAAAACACCTTGTACCTTATCAACGTTTCTTCTAGATTGTGGGTAAGGCTTCTTCCTTTTTTTGTTTTGTCCTGGTCCCAAACATTTTGGGACAGGGAATTAAAAAAAATATTTAGCCATGTGTGATGTATGCGTAGCAGCAACAAATAAAAAAAAAAAAAAAAAAAAAAAGAAAAAAAAAGCCTCTTTGAGGCATTAGATCAAGCAACTTGTGAGAACACCGACAGAGTTGCAACTCATTGCGAGGAAATGTCTACAATGAGCAGGAGATTCTGAAAAAAAAAGTATCGAAAATATAATTTTGCTCCAAATAAGCTTGTCTACAAGGAAAGAAGAGCTATTGGAAAATGCCCATTAGCTCCAGGAGAGGCAATATCGTATTTCTTGTTAATGTTTCTTTATCGTCTCTCTTATGAATTTATTTTTTTTATGTATAGTCGAATAGTGGGGAAAAAAAAATATGAGAGCATATATGAGAATCATGCATAGGAAGATGAGATTTGTTATGTGATTTGGTATTTATATCACACACTCAAAAGTCCCACACAATACATCATTTAATGAAATACCTCAAAATCGGTAAGTTTTTTAATACCACATTACTTTTTCTTACCACCGGACTTGTATTGATTATTTAAAAATCTTAATTGAATACCACTAGATATTTATTGATTACTTAAAAATCCTAATTGAATACTACTGTACTTTTAAACTTCAAAACAATCCATTAAAATCACAATTAAATACACCCCCCGAAGTTTAAAAATGACCTGCACAAGTTAGTTCACCATTAAAAAAAAAAAAAA